AGTAGTAGTAGTAGTAGTAGTAGTAGTAGTAGTAGTAGTAGTAGTAGTAGTAGTAGTAGTAGTAGTAGTAATAGTAGTAGCAGTAGTGGTAGTAGAAGTGGTGGTAGTAGTATAATAGTAGTAATGGTAGTAGTAGTAGTAGTTGTTGTTGTGTGGCATAAATAGTAGTAGTAGTAATAGTAGTAGTAAAAGTATTATTAGTAGTAAAAGTATTAGTAGTAGTACTAGTAGTAGTCGTAATAATAGTAGTAACAGTAGTAGTAATAGCTTGAAATTGTTTAACTTTGTACTTTGAAAAAAAATTCAGTTTAAATGTGCAGGATGTTAAAAAAAACAAAACTGAATGGGCCCATATTCCACTATTTTCTGATCTTTGTTATAATGTTGTTTCCTCGTGAAAAACATCCTCAGACTTTTGTTTCATTCACACATTTTTGTTTAACACACAAATCCCACAAAGGCTAAAAAGTAGAGCATTTTGAGCTTTGGAGTTGTAGAAAAGCAACACTGTTTTTAATGTTTTTTGTTGTGTTTTTTTTTTTTTACTGTTACGGTCAACATCTGGACTTTTCTTACCTGTGCGAGGAGCCCGGGCTGTATCTGGAGAGGCTGGGCACCGGGGGCTTGCGTCACTATGGGAACGGCATTCTCCATCCGCACGGAGTAACTGGTGTGTTTGGAAGGGGACGCCTGCAGCCCTGCGTGGGTAAATAAAGCACACGAGCGCAGATAATGTCAACAGCAGTAGCCTCGAACATCTGTCACTTCCCAGACGCAGCGGTGCTTCGTGCAGAATTAAAAGCCGAGGATCAGATAGTGTAATGTATGTGATGTACGCACTTGTCAAAATAGATTTATTCACCCGAGCCGCGTTCAAATATAGCAGCCGTACAGTAGTCATGGCGATAGTATAAAAACAGACCTCCATCGAGCAAATCTGTGCTGCATGTTAAGTAGGAGCCGAGCACACGCCTAAAGCCTTCAAGTAGTTTGGCCTTTGCATTAAAAAGGCACAAAAGATGAATAGTAAATAGAATTACTTTTCAATTTTTCTATTTAAATCTGTATTTTTGCTTCCAGGCGTAGCTTTTTGCAGCATTTTTCTTGCACTGAATCGAATTAAATGATGTGTTCAGAGTTCCCACGGGCATGGAAATCCTGGAAAAGTCATTGAATTTTTGTATCTTTAGTATTTCTCATTAGGTTATTATGATTATTTTGCACATTTTCTTTAAAAGAGACGAGAATAAATGCACTGACAGTATTTGAATGTTAAAAAACAATAATCCCAAACCATAAGGTGAGTGAAAAAAGTTAACATTTCATATTTAGCCCTAAAAGTCTGATCAATTTTACACATGTAGGTGCCGTAAAGTCATGGAAAATTCACTTTAGGTCATGGAAAAGTTTTGAAATTTTGTCAGAGTGGGAATCCTGTGTGTTCAAGTTTTTCTCCGCTGTGTTGTCAATGAGGAACCCCTTACATTAGTACACTTATTTCTGGACACTTTTGGACAGTTGATACTTTGCAGTGACGTGACTTTGGGGGTGTTCTACATGTATCTCTATGGGAGGAATGTTGAGCAGTTAGCGTAGAGACACAATACACTCATGGGCAAACACAGGCAAAAAAAAATGTTTTAAGAAAAAGATACAAAATGGATTTAAGCAGGACATTTTCAAGAGCCTGTGATAGATTTGAGCGTTCATGCTGATTTCAGATCTGTAAGGTTATTACAGTATTTACTAGAGGTGTAAAGGTACAAAAATCACGGTTCGGTATGCACCTCAGTTTGGTTTGGTACAGTATGGGAACACAATGCTAAACCATTTCCCGTTTAGGTCCCGTTTAGGGTTTGATTTTTAACAAAAATAAAAAAAACTAGGTGAGAGACTTTTGTACACTGTGCGATTCTTGGCCCTTTTTGAGCAGATTTTTCACTTGTGTGACTGTTTTTGAGAAAGGGCCGTGTTTTGGCTTAATCGTGTGTCGTGCTTTGTGTAGTAAACGAGAACCGATTAATACCTCACGACCAGCTCATAGAAAATCAAACCTGTCTGAAATCCAAGTCGCCTCTCGTGAAGGTTTAGTACTGTTGACTTGTTTAAGCCCACGCATCATTTTAACTCTTTTAAAGCGCCACAAACTACAGGATTTCCAGTCTTAAATGATTTTTAAATGTGCGACAAAAAGCGCACAACACAGACATGAGGAGAATCTGATGAGATTTAAAATCTCTGATCGCAAAGACCGCAGCGGGATCTGTCTGCGAACCACAGGATATGAAATTCTGAGCATAATCGCCTAAGCCGTTTCCTGTCTACAGTAAAACGACTCGCTTTGAGACTCTTCAGTGTTCAAAAGATCAGAGAACTGCACTTTTAATTTAGATACAAGTCAAAACTGTACTATTTTTATTTGTGGAATGTGGTGCAATACTTCAGATACATGATTTTTAACGCACAGAATCGCACAGAAGTGGAGTCAGTATCTTTAATCTGCAGCTTCCCCTCGATCCGTGCGCTGTGTGGATGTAAACAGACACAGGTGAGGAACTACTCTGGCCTTTTTACTTTTAAAGAACACCTTAAACTGGATTAATAGCGCTGGATTCATTTTGTGGACTGGGGTCATTATGTTCAGAAGACAAATTCTATGGATAATATGAACGAAAATGCTGCAGTTTAACTTTACAACTTTAGGAGAGGTGAGTAATAATTATTTTTGCTGTTTCCTGGTAAAACATTTGGAAAACGCCCTCTTCAGTCTGAACAGTGAGCCGTTACAACATCAGCTGTTTCATGTGGTGTGCCGCTTTGAGCTCGGTTTGTAAAAATGCAAAACACACAAAACAGCTCTGGGATAAAATCAGAATAGTGATTAATGATTGACACCATTATTTGCACGAGTCCTTTTTTATAAACACAGACTGATTTTGCTGTTAACACGGTGAGTTTTCAAGTGATAATTGTAATTCTTTTGTGCTCGGATTTTTACCTGCCTCTGAATACCGTTACAAATCTTTTTTTTCTCACTTCTTAGGAGCTCTGAGGCTGTACATTTAGTTCTTTAGTTGGTTCTTTAATCGGTTGACGCTGTATTAGTTGCCAATTTTTCATTTATTAGTGAACTAAATATGTTTTAATAGAAATAAAGGTGAAAGCAGAGTGTGGACGAGTGTGTATGAAGTCACTTTGACACTTTAATTTGCTTTTCCACTGATAAAAATACTGTTTACAAGTACTTTTTTCTCTGTATATATTCATTTTTGCAAAGATCGCAATAATTTTGAGAGATTTTACCTGTGCCACACCCCCTTTTAGTGGAATAATAGATGCACACATTTTTTTTTAGTCAACCACAAGCAACCAAACCTAACAGACACTAATTGATACTTTGCAGCGACATCATGCCGGGGGTGTTCTACAGGTACGTGTATGATGGATTGTTCAGTAGTTATCGTGGTGACACAATGCACACATTAGCAAACACTGCCTAAAAAGTCTTCAGGAAAAAATGCAAAATAGATTTAAACTTATTTTCAGGAGCCTGTGATGAATGCGAGCGTTCATGGTCCTGTTTAGGAGTTTGAATTTCAGCAAAAAGGTGAGAGCGACTAGACTGACCAGACTGAGTTTTGAGCCCTGTGTCCCAGTGGATTTATCCCAAACTATAGATTTGGCCCAGTTTTATATAAGAAATGTCGCAGGATTCCCTATTTTTGACCAATTTGATCCCTGCCAACAGTAAAGAGAGGCATAAATTGCAATTTGTTTGCGTAAAATACAGAAAAAGCTGCTTAAAAAGAAAATGTGACTATACTGGCTCACATGTTCGTCACGAATGGTCTCAGCATAACAACTTCCCTTAATTACGCACTCTTTTTATTTGGAAATTCTGGTCCGTCTATGTGTGAGAGACTTGTTTAACAGCAAAAAACATCCAACATAGACTACGTTCAGACTGCAGGGCTTAATGCTCAGTTCCGATTTTTTTGTGAAATCAGATTTTTTTTGCGAGGTCTTTCACATTTCCAATTAAGAGTGACTTGTATGTGATCTCCAGTGTGAACTTTAAATGCCCCAAAAGTGTCCCGCATGCACACTGGAGGACATGACGACTTCACGTGCAGTGATCGTAATCAGTGTTTATAGAAGTCGCCTAAACGCTGGGCTTGTCTCCAAAATACGGTCCAGTTTTTCGTAAAATGGACAGGTTACACGTCCATGGCCGCTTCATTTGTTTGAGTCTTTAGCCTCCTTGTATTCGCTTTTTATTTTTTGTTGACATTGGAGCCAGGACCGCCTGTAGCCGCGCTCGGCAACTTCTTTGACAATCGTTTAAAAAATCGCCTGGTTCCGATAAGACCCCTCCAATTTGTCCTGAATACAGCGATCTCCCCAAATATTAATAAACTTCCTAACTTCACTTTCCCTCCATTGACTAGACCCCGAGCCTGACGTGAAGGTGGGATGAATGTGACCTGGCCATTCAGACTGAAGTCGCATGTCAAAAGATCGGATATGTATCGGTTTTAGGACCACATATCGAAGTGTAGTGGGGCACGTTTGAAAAAATCAGATCTGTGTCGTTCAGAAAAAGATCAGATACGAGTCGCAGAGGGGAGAAAAAATTGGATTTGGGTCAGAAACTCAGATTAAACTCTAAAAAAATCTTTGTTAGCGTCACACCCCAAGAAATATCGATGACGTCAGCTGCAAAGTATCTGTAAAACTTATGTATGCATGTAGTAAATATCAGTATAGTGCGTACCTTGGAAGCCAGGTGGGCACACGATGAGAGCCTGTTGGAAGGGGTCCGGTCGGGCGGCGCAGAGCTGGGGGGCGCCCGGCTGGAGGGGCATGCTCCTCTGGGCCACGGCTGCCATGGACGCTGCGGAGGGCTGGTAGAGTGCAGATTGGTAGTTTAGTATGGAGACATCGGGACTGGCAAAGGAAAGGGTGGCATTGTTGGTGGAGGAAGGAGCCAGGTTGGTGGCCTAAAGGAATGGCGGGATAAAAAAAAAAATCAAAGAAAAAAATCAAAAGGGTGCAGGGACGGCGGAGAATGAAAAAAAAAAAACACAAAAGCGTTCAAATAAAAAGGATTGTAATGATTATGTGTGTTTGATGAGAGCGGATGGCGGAATAAATGTCTTAAAAATGCAGATTGTTGATTTGATTAATTATAAGATGGGGAAGATGCGATGGGGGCTGCAATCATGTTTGAATTTCCCCGTAGTGATACATCAAGGCGGAAAACGCAACCGACCAGCAAGGGAGCCTATTTTCTACTTAAGAATGAAGCGCTCTGTCTACATCACACATTACACACACGCATCGCACGCTTTAAGTGTCTCATTTAGCTATAATAAACCACTCACTAAAAGATCTCCTTTAATTTTACACTAACAAATGCTGATTTCAGATGTGGAAGGAGCCGCTTTAAAGGTTATTACAGTATTTACGAGAGAAATAAAGGTACACAAGAATAAAAACGGTTTGGTACGTACGTCGATTCGGTTCGGTTCATTTTCGGTACAGTGCACGAACAGAAGCCTAAACCGTTTGTGTGTTTATTAAACCAACAATTTGTTTTAACATTATACAAATGGGAAAATAAAATAAATGCAAAGTGCTGCTTGGTAATACTAATAAGTGAAATAAAATATTCTCAAATAAACGACATGTATGGAATATTATAAAAACTAAATTCCTTGTAAACAGTAAGACACAGACAGTTTCGACTGTAGTAGTAGTATGTTGTATGGCACAAGTAATCGTAGTCATTGTAGTAGCAGCAGTAGTAATAGTAGTCGTAGTAGTAGCAGTAATAGTAGTAGTAGTAGTAGTAGTAGTAGTAGTAGTAGTAGTAATAGTAGCAGTAGTAGGAGTAGTAGTAATAGTAGTAATAGTAGCAGTAGTAGGAGTAGTAGTAATAGTAGTAATAGTAGCAGTAGTAGGAGTAGTAGTAATAGTAGTAATAGTAGCAGTAGTAGGAGTAGTAGTAATAGTAGTAATAGTAGCAGTAGTAGTAGTAGTAGTAGTAGTAGTAGTAATAGTAGTAATAGTAGCAGTAGTAGTAAGTAGTAGTAGTAATAGTAGCAGTAGTAGTAGTAGTAGAAGAAGTAGTAGTAGTAATAGTAGCAGTAGTAGTAGTAGTAGAAGTAGTAGTAGTAGTAGTAGTAGTAGTAGTAGTAGTAGAAGAAGTAGTAGTAGTAGTAGTAGCAGTAGTAGGAGTAGGAGTAATAGTAGCAGTAGTAGTAAGTAGTAGTAAGTAGTAGCAGTAGTAGCAGTAGTAGTAGTAGTAATAGTAGTAATAGTAGCAGATAGTAGTAATAGTAGTAGTAGTAGTAGTAGTAGTAGTAGTAATAGTAGTAATAGTAGTAATAGTAGTAGTAGTAATAGTAGTAATAGTAGCAGTAGTAGTAGGAGTAGTAGTAATAGTAGTAATAGTAGCAGTAGTAGTAGAGTAGTAGTAATAGTAGTAATAGTAGCAGTAGTAGTAGTAGTAAATAGTAGTAGTAGTAGGAGTAGGAGTAATAGTAGCAGTAGTAGGAGTAGTAGTAATAGTAGTAATAGTAGGAGTAGGAGTAATAGTAGCAGTAGGAGTAGTAGTAATAGTAGCAGTAGTAGGAGTAGTAGTAATAGTAGTAATAGTAGGAGTAGTAGTAATAGTAGTAGTAGTAGTAGTAGTAGTAATAGTAGTAATAGTAGCAGTAGTAGGAGTAGGAGTAATAGTAGCAGTAGTAGGAGTAGTAGTAATAGTAGCAGTAGTAGGAGTAGTAGTAATAGTAGTAATAGTAGCAGTAGTAGGAGTAGTAGTAATAGTAGTAATAGTAGCAGTAGTAGGAGTAGTAGTAATACTAAGCAACACATGTATGAAATATTATAAAAACTAAATTCCTTGTAAACAGTGAGACACAGACAGTTTCGACTCTCAGGTATGAAAACAAACTCTTGGTCTGAAAAAAGAACAACATAAAGTAAACAAAACTTTTCAAATAGTTCTGCTTTTCAAACAGAAAACACTCCCACCTGGGCACGTCATGTGGTCATACAGGAAGTGCTGTTCTGTGTTTTTAAACTCCAAACACCTTCACTAGAATCGTTTGGATCATTTCAGCCCTGGAATCGCTCATCTCTAGAGGAAGCTGTTAATGCCGGACGAACACTGTGTGATTTTTCGCCCTTTTTAAGTAGATTTCTCACTCGTACGACTGTTTTTGAGACTTTTGGCTTAATCGTGTATCGCACTTCGTGTAGTAAACATGGGGTAACAAGAAATGATTAATACCTCATGACCAGCTCCCGATCGGCAATAGTCGCAAGAATATCCAACCTGTTTGAAATCCAGTCGCCTCTCGTAACGGTTTCACACTGTTGATGTAGTTCCTGGAGCTGTGATCATTTAAACCCTGTGATCTGGTCGTACAGTTGAGTGAAACAATCGAAAATATCGCCGTGTATCAGTGTACGCCTGACGTAACATGAAAACTATCACTTCATGACATCACATGGTGGAAAAAGAACATGTTGAGCTTTGCAGACGTACACAGACTGATAATAAAGGATTACTCAATCATGTGTGGATGAAACAAAACAGAACTCTGGGTCTGTTTTTCAGGAGGAAACAATGCTATAACATGACTAAAGCTCACGAGAATCAATGTTGTGTAATACCAGACCTTTAAATTATAAATGAAAATAGATTTCAATTGAAACATTACAATTGAAAATAACAAGGCTTTTGACATTTCTCGCTCTGATTCAGTCTCTCACCGGCCGATCGATATGACTGACAGGGTAATGTTTCACAGAGGTTATAATTATGTAAGCAAGGTAACTCTGGCATGCCCTGACCATTAATAACACATGTAGAAGTCTGCCTGGGAACATCCGAGATACAAATGCTTTTGAGACAAATGTTAGTGCAGCCTCTTAAGTACTGTTTACTCTCTGCTACTGTCTTATTCGAGTTTTCTTTCTTTAAAAGGGCCCATATTACATAATTTTCTGCTCTATGTTACGTTTTTTTCCCCCTCATCGCAAACAGACCTGGAGTTGTACCTTGTTTTGTTCACGTGGTTAAAACACAATCCTGCATATTTAAGCTGGGTTCTTCTCTCAAACATAAAACACACTGTTCCACCTTGTGATGTCATGCGGTAATACAGGAAGTGCTCTACTGTGTTTTCAAACTCCATACATCTTCACTAGAATCATTTGGATAATTTCAGACCTGGAATTGCCAATCTCTAAACACAGCAAAAAGTGGAGTGTTAAAATCGACTCTCACAGAATCAGTTTTAACATTTTCTCAGTGTTTATATGAGTCCAATCTGTTCTAGAGTTAATTTTACATTTCTGGAAATGTTAGACCAAAATTCCTTTTTAATCTCAAAATCAAGAGTTATATTAACATTTTCAGAGCAAATGGATAACACTTTGCAGGGTTATCCTGATTTAGCTAAACGACGCACAGAGGTGTTTTATTTTTACACTTTATTTTAGTTAATTTAAAATGAAATTATGTACAAAACTGGTTCAAACTGGTCTTCTCTCACGGGAGTTTGAAGTGGTGGGTGGGAGGTGCCAAATTAACACTAGTGGAAGCTGAATTAACTTCAATCATATCAACTCGAACCCCCATTTAACTTTCAAATAGTTAAAAATAACACTTCTTGTGTTAAAAACATCTGAAATATTTTAGCCTGAAATTTTAACCCTTCAGTTTTTGCTGTGTGTCGCTTCATAAAATAATATAAGATAATCCTTTATTGTCTCCCATGAGAGAAATTTGTCTTTGGACAGGGGGTAACATGTTTTATCAAAAAAAACAGGACAACACAACAATAAAAGCACCACACGAACTTTCACCATAGAACAGAAATAAATAAGAGACCAAGTCTGACCACGAGTGATGCACCAATAGGACCTTTAAAGGTTGTATGGAGGATTTTTTTGTTTGTTTCAAATTGTCAATGAAAGTTTAAAATACCATTACAGAGACGCAGCAGCTTTGTAATTATAATGACCAAAAAAAAAAAGAAAGAAAATCTATCAACTGTGGACGTGTTGAGGCCAGATAAACATCAGCCAATAGAAAACGAGGCTGCCTCATTTTCTATTGGCTGTTAGGTTGTCAATCAAACTCCCTACGTTTCTAAGGTAACTATGCAGCGGGTCTTAGAGGCTTTTTCTAATTGTGGCTCTCGCAGTTCGCATAAAGTTTGTCGCGATGTCGGACGAGAATCGACGACCAGTTCGCCGCAAAAGAAAGTCCGTTTTTGAGGTCGCTGAAAGAAGAAGAGAAGGAGAAAAGGAGCGAAGACAAACTGAGGTGATTCTTGGAGATTCCTTCCAGCGATGGCGCGACTGAAGCAGACAAAGGGTCTAAAAACTGAGGTGTCGGTCTCTAAATTATTTCTAGAGGGAGCTGTGGAGGAGGAAGGTGGTGTCAAGGACTGTCGCTGGATTTCTCTTTCCTTAAAAAAATCCTCTATACAACCTTTAAGTCACTCTTTACAGGCAAACCCTTCGCAATCTTATATTCTGTTAGTAATTGCACACTCCCTAAACCTATGTGCAATTTTGATTACACATTCCCCTGACCTATGAGCAGTTCATGACATCACAGATTGGAACAGAGCATTCTGAGCTTTGGAGATGTAGACAAACTAATATGAAAGTATCAAACATGTGAGAATGAAAGAGTCAGTTTTGCGTAACATAAGCCCTTTAAGACACGAGATACAATTCTAATTTCTGTTTTCTTTCATTGCGCTACAGAGACGATTGAGGCGAAACTACAAAGAACGCGCTTAAATTTTTCATTTGCTCTCTTTAGCGAGCTCGATGAGCACCCGGGGAGGGAACATAATCAATATAGGACTGTGGCATTCATCATAAACAAGCATACAAGCTGCGAAACACACACACACACACACACATACAAGGCTGCGTGCATACAGCCCTGCAAATGAGTGAGCCTGAATGC